CGGCCACACCGGCTGCCGCTCCCAGAACGGCCCCGTTGAGGGAGAAGTGCGCTGTCCCGCGGCACGGACCGGCACCGGGCTCCGGCACGTAGGGCTCGGGCCGACACCTCATCACCTCAGCCCGTCGGCGCAGCGCAAAGAAAGGGCAGAGCTCTCCGGTCCATGTAAAACCTTTTTTTTGTTTGTTTTTAATTCTAAATCACTTTCACAACAGTGAAAATTAGTGAACAGCAATGGTAACGCACGGCACGGGCCGTTACCGGCTGTGCAGCCCGAGGACGGGGGGGAACGCGATACAAAAAGCACACCAAGAAAGGCAGGAACGGAAGCATTAACACTGTCACGTTTCTGCAGCCATCTCTGTCTAAATCCATCGTCTCTCTCACCAGTAGATGGGGGAAAAAACCCAACCTATTAAAATTCTGTATTTTAAAACGTGTTAGTTAAACCAGTTTCAATACCTCTTGAACCTATTACGGTCACTTTTCTGTTCTCTTTATCGGAAAAAGGCTTTAAAGGGAAACCCTGCTCCTCCCTGCATAACCTCTGCTCTTAGCAACGAGTTTCTCAATACAAAAAAGGAAAACCACCCCTTTTACTATCACATGAAGTCTGCCTTTCCATCAGCAGGTGGTGCTGCCTGCTCAGTTAAAGGAAGTAAAAACTCTACTAATGCCAGTCGCTTAGCAGAACGCAATCAATAGCCTCTCCTAGACAGGGTCCCAGTTACCAACTTCAGCATTTGAGAAGAACCCTATTCAGAAGAAGTTAAGCTCCTCAAAAGCGGCACACAACAAAAGTTGAAGCACCAGTTCAACTATTTATAGTTGAAGCAAAAATTTCTGCCAGATTATCCTTGAGTCAGGTGTAAGTTTGACTAGATGTGGCAAAACACTGCAGTTGCTTTGCAACATTCTACTTGCCAGATGGACTTTTGGAGGTAGGCAAGTTAAACTTCAACCATCCTCTGTCTTGATACTAGAAGTGAACAGTTCATAATTATAACAATTAAATAAGGTGTCCAGCACAGGAACCTCATCCATACACTAGAAAAACCCTAACTATTGAAACAAGATTTCTATGAGTTGATTTGTTTTGTCAGTTGTCTGTCTATTGCCAGGGATGTCGGAATATTCATCTTGCAGAAAATCATTATGACTACCAGTGATCTGAATACAAATAAATCTAAAAACAGTAAGAAAAAATGGAATTACCCAGAGCAATAGGAAAACTTTCATCTTGGGAGTCTCTTGTCTCTGCTGTTCGGAAGGAATCTACACAAAACATCAGATGTACTCTTCAAAGCTGTAACCCAACAGAATTCCAAAACGGCTACAGAGTGCTCACCTGCTGAAATATTTCCTTCTCAGCACATAAATGGTTGCAGTCTCTTTCAGCACTTCAAATTAATATCTTTGGTAGATACTGTAGAGACTGGCTATAGTCTTTCTGCTGTGGCATCGGGGTAACATCTGCAGTGAGAAACTCAACCAAATGTTCCCTACTATGCCATGTGCTAGCAAAGACAGGATCTCATTTTTTCTCCCATGTAATTCTCCAATATGACAATTTTCACCTCAAAACACAAGTGCTTTTTGTTTCTATCCCCATACAAGCTGATCTCAGATCTGTAATAGGATTTTATTTGGAGTACATGACCTTGCAGAGAAAGTCTTGAAGCCTTGGGAAGAATAAATGTAGCTACAATGACAAGGCTGTGAGGGGATTTTCCATGAGTGCAGCCACAGGCTGCTGCACAGACCCGAGGAAGACAACACTGTTTTGTCAGTTAGGAAAAGGGCTGGGTGAGGCAGAGGGGGGCCTTGTACTGTTCAGCAACCCCACCCAGATCCGCAGCAGGAGAATCTTCCAGTGTCTGGCTCCAGCAAATTCGGGCTTTAAAAAAAAATGCAGCATAAATTTGTATCCCTTCTTCTAACAGCCATCAGAGCTGCTGCAGGAGGAGTTTTCCATCACGCCAGGAAATAACAGCAAGAAAAGAAACCAGTCTCCAAACCTGGTTCCATTTGCATCATGTGTTGTGCCCAAGGTGTCTCATCAGGGCTGCAGATGACTCCCTGAAGAAGGCTGGATGTTGATGTGAAGACATCAAATACCATCCGCAGCTCTGGCAGATCCATCGTGGTTGCCAAGCATGAGATACTGATCACACTGCACAAGTTTCCTTACCTGCCCAGCCTACCTTGGGGCAGCTGTGTGTCACATAAACCTGGTGTCACTGATTGGCACAGGATTCCCAAGCAGCACTCCTTTCAGGAGCAGAGCTCAAGGCTAGGCCCCCCATGGTTTGTGGCAGGACAAGACCGCTGAGCTGAAATATGCTTTTTAACCAATGTTTAATTTCCAACTCTGGTGCAAAATGTGAGACTCGTCGTTGTGTGGTGGCACCAGCAATTCCTGAAGCCCACAGTTAGCTATGGAACCAGACACCAAGAGGTTTAAAATGGGATGGGGTGCAGTTTGTAACTGTTTCAGTGGCCCTGTTGGCCATGAATATACAGAATAATGGAAAAGGTTTATGCAATCAACAGCCAGAACATTATCACCAGAGCCACAAACAGGAAGAGACGGGATAGGAACTGCTCATCCACATATTGAGGAGTCCCTGGAACAGCTGGAAAACAGGAAGTGAAAGAAAAAAAACAACAGTTCAGCTCCTTCCTCTTCTCCAGATTCATATATATTCTGAACATAGTACATTCATAAATTGAAAGATATGCAAGGAATCTTCTTGGTGATAAACTGTTGCCATTTCCTACCCTCAGACTGGCCAGCCATACTGGAAAATCTGAAGGAAGACTCCCTGAAGCAGGACTTGTGGTAAGCCTGCTCATGACTAATAGCAACAGGCAGCTCCAAGTGCTAGAGTACACACAGGTCTGCTCAGAGCACTTATGGGGATGGTGCTGAGCCAAGTTCAGAGCTTTGTTCACTGTTGACTGCTGAGCTAAGTTCACTGTTTCCATCCTAAAGGAACTTTACCACCACTACCTGAGCACTCCTCCCCATAAAGGTGAGATATCTGAATCAGGAAATGGTAAAACTGTCAAATTTGCATGTGTAGCCTCGACCAAGAAAATAATGAAAAGCACACAAACTCTAAAGCTCAAGCCTTGCGTCTATGGAACTGCTGTATTGAATCCACAGATGAAAAACAGATAAAGGAGTTGGTTAAATTACAGCATATATTTACATACTCCTTAGTTCAGTCACACCTCTACACAAATTTTCAGTGGACAGTGAAGTATAGATCACAGGCAAGGCAATTTGAGCTAAGGGCAGCACAAGTCTTTGGCACACAGGTGTGAGATGAAGGAAATGTTTCTGTTTCTCATCATTCCTATGCCATATGACAGTGAAGATGATGTGCCAGGCACAACTTTTCACAGAGGAAGCTCAGAAAATCCTGGGCAGTAGGTTTTCTTGTGCAAAACAGGTAGACTCAGTTTGTTTTCTGGAGATTACTTAATTTTAGGAGAGCGATGCCGCTACTTGAAGTAACCCAACTATTTTGTCTTAAAAACAGTGAAATTATTTCACCAGCAGGTTACTTCTTGCGAAATACAGATGACTGTCTCCAAGATAAATTTCTAAAAAAGGAACCATCTCTCATTATTTTGTGGTACAGAGCACCAATTTAAATTTTTCCTTCTCATCTTTCAGGAAATGGCCTTTTCCTAGTGTTTTCAAAATATGGGTTTCCTTCATACTGACTCATTTATTATTGTTGTTATTATTATTATAAACTGCAGTCCAGCTTGTCCCATTTTTCAGAGGGAGTCCACTGGAGTAGTAGAGCAGACATTTGAATTCAAGGGAAAAAGTCTCCAGTGCCACTCATACAACAGCTGTAAGCCACAGACTATGTTCTCTACTGGGTGTTGTCCCTCATTCTGTGGTTCTAATTACAGTACTGATTTACTTTACTCTTCAGAAAGTTTTGTCATTCAGCAGGGTGCTTGTTTAAAAGCTACAAGGGAGTTTGTAAAACATCTGTTTGTGACAGGACTCTTGGAGAAGACAGGGCACATGGTACCTGGAGGAGGTCGCCCATCATTTATGTTGAATGCTGTTGCAAATATACCAAAGGGAAATGCCCCAATTCCAAAGGACATTTGGAATCCACCATCGCCAAACCCAAAGCCTTGGAATCCCTGGAAAGAACCAAGCAGAACAGAAAAAAGGTACCAATTATTTAAAGCCTATTTCAGACTATTTTTATAAAAGTGCAGCCCTTCCTTCTCACTGGCTTTCCTGTGGCTGAAGGAGTATCATGCTGTCTGGCAACTTCCAGTCTACCACACTATTGTTAACTACCTCCTTAGTTCTCCTGGTTTTAAAATGTTTCACACAGCATCAAACTTGCCAGAGAAACCCAGAAATTTGAGAAAATAAGAACTAGGAATGACAGTTTTTGCTTAAAGGCCAAAAATTAACAAAAGCATTTCTGCAACATTTCTCAGAATAGTATACATCTGACAGTATATCAAAATCAACATTACCAATTCTATTGACAGTGTCTTAACAATGTATTAGTAATTCTGTATTAATAGCTATTAGCCATATAACTGTAAGAAATACATTGTAAAAAAATAATCTGCATGGATTTTCATGATACTTGTGCATCATGTAAACATTCAGTGAAGTGATAAATTGCCAGTCGGATGCATAAAGCATTACAGAGAGGAAAAGTAAAAATAAAAGCCAATCAAAAAACAGAGGGACTCTAATTAAGGTGGCAGATAAAGTAATCTGAGGCAGGAAT